ATGATACCACCACTCTAGAAAACAGTTTCTTATTTTCTTATAAAACTAAACATGCAGTTACCATATGATCCAGCAATTGTACTCTTGGGCATCTATTTCAGAAAAGTGACAGTTCGTGCCACACAAAAACCTATACACAAGTGTTCATAGCAGCTTTAGGCATAATAACCAAAAACTGGGGGTATAGCTCAGGGATAGATCATTTGACTACATAATAGCCGAGAACTGGAAACACCTCAGATATCCTTCAACAAGTGAGTGGTTAAACAAATTGTCATACATCCATATCTGGAATATTTAGCAATAAGGAACAAACTGTTGATATATGCAACAACTTAGATAAATCTCCAAGGAATTCTGCTGTATGACAAAAACCAATCCCAAATGGTTACATACCATATGATTCCATCTATAAAACGCGTTTGCAATGACAAAATTTTAGAAATGGAGTACAGATTGGTTGTACCAGGGACTGGGGATGTGGGAAGGAAGGGGAATGGGTGTGATTATAAAAGGTTAACACGAGGAATCCTTGTAATGAAACTGTTCAGAATCCTAATTGTGGTGGCAGGTATATTAACATGTACATGATAATACTGTATAGAACTAAATACACACAAATGAGTACAAGTAAAACTGGATTGTAACAATGTCAGCATCTTGGTTGTAATACTGTAGTACAGTTTTCTAAAGTGCTCCTATTGAAGGAAACCAGGTAAAGGGTGCATGGGATCTTTCTGTATTATTTCTTTAACTGCAAGTGTATCTACAATTATCTTAATAAAAATTTCTATTAAAAAATAAATATAGGTTTGAATTATTTTAGGAGTATAGAGGGAAAAAAAAAGTCAATGTAGACAAAAAATAGGAGTCCTGATAGAATTTGTCATCTCCTGATCAAATAAATGTTTTGGCTCTTCCCTAGCTAAATATTTCTTAAAACTTTAAAAAAAAAAAAAAGAAAGAAAAGTTTTTTATCTTTTGAATGTATTAAGAATTATTACAGCTTCATAATTTAGTGCCCGAATATGGTCCAAAGAACTATGTTCTTATCTTAAACATGATTGTCATCATTGCATATATTACTTAAATATGGTACTTCTTGAGGAATGAAAAGTACTGATTTCATTGTAGTTGTAGTCTAAGAGTTAATTCAGTGTTTGGGACTAATGAAATCAGTAAGTCTGAGACCATAAATAATAACAATTTTCCACTTAAAGTGTGTAACTAGTCTTTATTTCTTTTGGCAGCTTCTGGGCTGGCTGGCTGAGAAACTACCTACTCTTCGTTCCACCCCCACAGACCTTATCCTTTGTGTTCCTCATCTCTACTCCTGTCTAGAAGACCGAAATGGAGATGTGCGGAAGAAGGCCCAAGATGCTTTGCCTTTCTTCATGATGCATTTAGGATATGAAAAAATGGCCAAGGCTACTGGGAAGTTAAAGGTATTAATACTTGTTGCTTTTGCTTTTGCTGCTGCTGCAAATCACTAGAAAAATACTGAATGTGAATTTATATAAGCAAAAGGTTATATTTTCTATGAATTTCAATTTGAAATCCTAATGAGAGCAAAAATACTTAGCAGTGTAGAAGTTCTAAGAATCTGTTGTCATTCTGCCCTCTAGAATGATAGCCACTTTAGTGTGACTTCATAATATGTGTTACTTCTCTTGTACTGTGTGCTGCCTCCCTTCATTGGTCTTTCAGAACTAGCTCAGTCATTTGACAATAGATCTATTAGTAAGTTTAGAATGAGGGTATCATTTATGTGACCTCTCATTTCTTCTGTTATATTGTCTCTCTAGCCAACTTCTAAAGATCAGGTACTGGCCATGCTAGAGAAAGCCAAAGCTAACATGCCAGCCAAGCCTGCCGCACCTGCTAGAGCAACTTCAAAACCAATGGGAGGGTCAGCTCCAGCCAAATTCCAGCCTCCATCAGGTAACTCTATCTTGAGATGGTCAAAGGGGAAGAAAATAGCCCTACAGAACTCTAAACAGACATCCAGCCTTCTTTTTTTTTGTTTAATCACATATCTTCACAGCCTAGATCCCAAGCCCTCCCTCCCTCCCTTCCTCTCTCCTTCCCATCCTTTCATAAATATTAGTCAAGTACCTATTTTATGCCAGGAACCGTGCTAAGGATACAAAGATGATTAATTTGGTTTTTAATTCTTTTTTTTTTTTTTCCTTTTTGTCTTTTTTACTGACCGGTAACGGGATCGCAACCCTCGGTGTCGCGCCCACACCAAGCTCAGCCAGTGAGCGGGAACCGGTCTCCACATGGGATCCGAACCCTCGGCGGGAGCACCGCCACACTCCCAAGCGGCGCACTCTCCAGTGTGCCACCGGGCCGGCCCGGTTTTTAATTCTTGATTTCTTCATCCTGATGATAAAATCCCATAATGTATAACCTGTAACCACTTTATTGCCAAACTTGTTGTTTAAACAAAACAATATTCTTTTCAGTGAGATAGAAATTGTTGATACTATAAAGTTAGAAATTTTACATGTGTGAAAACTTTTGGTGGGGCTTCTGGTCAAGATGGCAGAATAGACGGTCCCCAGCATCACACTCTCCAATTTACAACTATAAAAAAGCAACAATGGGCCGGCCCTGTGGCTCACTCGGGAGAGTGCGGTGCTGATAACACCAAGGCCAAGGG